GTTGAACTGTGTTTTTCAGTGTTTTTTTTTCACTTCTAACTTAACTAAATGGTGTCTCTCACCCAAAACAAAGCACATGTTGTGTTTATTTTCCACATTTCCTTCTCAGCAGCCATTTTATTTTATTGCATTTTATTTCAAATGCAGCATTAAAATCTTTAAAGAGAAAATATACGTTTCATACAATAAAAACAAATACGTTATGTGGTTTCAAACCAGGGTTTTGACATTCACGTTTTGACTTAGGAAGGTGCTATAACAAATACAAGTTACATTAAAAAAATGTTTAAACTGTTAATGATTTGCCTATGCAATAATTTCCTTCTTTAATATATATTTTTTTAAAAAAACTGTTTCAATCTCCAGAGTATCTTATTCATGTTAAGGTTGATTTTCTGTTCAGACCATTAATTTTGATTGACATGAATGGGATATTTGTGGTTTGGGTGGATGCTTTTCATTCTCTCCAATTTTGCAATGAGGACTTCACTGCAGTGCTGGAATGTTTTTCTTTTAAAAAAGTTTGACACACAAACACAATTGCTGTGGTTGGCGTTGACAACTCCACCCTAGCAAAGGCTGGAGTCAAACCCAGTACGTTTTTGCAGGTAACAGGAGCCAGCAGATTGAGTTGGAAGAGCAAAACCGAGAGCTACAGTAAATCTCTCTCCTCCACCTGTGTGGGTCCAAGCAAGTTGTTTGCAAGCGGCCACTCAAAGGAACACAATAAGAGATCATCTCAAAACTACAACAGGTAAGTCTTAAGCCTGGCACTCCTTCTCCAGCTTTATTCTGTCCCGTCGAGCTAAGAATATATACATATGCATACACACGGTTAAATATATATATATTTTACTGAACTAGAAACTAAAGTTGTGCCGACAGGTTAAAAAAGTTAAGAAAAGTTGGAAATACTAGTTTTTTGTGTGTTGCAAAAGAAAAAAAGTGAGACCAAGTTTCCCTTTAATTTCAGAAAGTGTGTTTTCCTTGTTGTAAAGGGCAGCAACATTGTTATGTACAGTAGTTTATTTGCAATGTGGGATTATTGCTGGCTTCTGGGTTTGAGCAAGTGATGAAAGAAAGAGAGGGGCTTTTGCACATGTGCAGGTGTGACTCATTAAGTCAGTTAGGTTTAATGGGAAAATGCTGCATTTCCTATGACACTGTATTTGAACCCACAAATTTCGTAAAACAGCACCACATTCAGCCAAATAAAGTCAACTATACTTCATCTTCTATATTAATCTGCATTGCCAATTGGCTGCCGCGTTTCGCCCACAAAATATGCAGTCAATAAATTTTACAGGATGTTCTGTGAAGCGCTTTGAGACATTTCGAAGATGTGATCAGGCACTGCATCAAATGCGAGGATTATTATTAATATTATCTTCCCTAAAGTCAGCTATATTTATATTAAAAAAAGAGAAATATCATCCGAAAAAGCCCTGAATGACTATTTGAGATTGGAAGACCAGGGGAGCTGGTCAGAAAAAGGGACGCGCTTATGCAGATTGTGTTTTCGGTCAAGAGCCAACTGCACATCAGCTATTATGTGTTTGACAGGATGCAAAGGAAGCATATTATAATAATGCAACAATCTTTGCATTTGACACAGAACCATATCACATCATTGAGACGTCTCAAAGGGCTTCACAGAATAGACTGTAAAGTGAATTGACTGTACATTTTGTGTCCCACAAATAGTTGTGGTTTGAGTAACCAAATTATTATTATCTTTTAAGGGATTATTACCTCTGGAAAGTGATCCACTAATTGATTAACAACTCAATTTCTACTTACTGCTAAGTAAACAGAGGCGTGTGGCGTAAGGAAACTTGCCTAAGGTTTCACCCTACCGACAGTTGCGCCCAGGTCTTCTTGCTTGTGAGGCAAATGGTCTAACCAATGACTCCTGGGAAAATGAAATATTGACTCTTGGGAATACTCACTATCACTGTCGTGCAGTTTGCGACTTTTCTTGTGGGGTCCATTAAGTTATTCCGTTTCTTCTGTACATTTACAGTCTACCGCATAAGGTGCGGTCATGCCTACATATGCCTAACATATTGTAAAGCATCTGAGCATGACTCTTTATTGACAGGACCACACCTGTTTTATATTTGGAGATGAAAACCACCAGATAAAATTGGTCATTCACTTCATGGCTGTTTTGCTAGCCGTCATTAGTGAGATTTCAGACATGGGGAGCAATTACGATCTGATACTGTACAAACTTACAACAACAACAACAAGATTCCATTTATAAAGCGCCTTTCACGTCAGGAGGACGTCCCAACTTAATGATAAAAAAAAAGAAACTACTTGGCAGAAGCTTGAAGCTACAAATATATTGAACATGGCATTAATGTTGAATCACTTACTTAAAGTTAAATGGGATTTAAAGTTTTCAAAAGGAGTGCAGATGTTATTGATTAAATGCACCATTGAACACAATGATGCTTGCAATGGTGGAACTACTGAGCACAGCTGGTCAGGGTTCAATGATGCAGTTCATAATGTCAAATCCCTGGAGTTTTGCCAAGATCCCTAGAGTTTTGACAAGAAACCTGGAGCTTTAGTTTAAAGGATCCGGGAGACATTTTGCTGAAGTTCATTTTCTTACAAGGTTTCCCATGTTAACTCACCAACATCGGTTAGGTTAAAAGTAGGGTAGAGTCTGCGATTGAAGTCCAAATGGCCTTGTCATCATCCACGTCTTCATATGTTCTTCCGTTGCTTCAAAAGCAGGAGTGAAGAGAATCCCACCCTCTCACCCCCACCTCCCCTCCTCAAACTAAAGGCTGAATATGGCAAATGGGTGAAGAAATATTTGCTCAGAATGTAGTGTGAATTATAAATGTTATTTTCAGAAACGTTTACGACGACACAAGTATTAAATTTTAAGGTGCGATACTTTTACTTATTCAGAGGCTCTAGTGAATTATTGCCAAGTGTAAATCTTAAATCTCTGTGTGTATTCCCTCTGCGAATGTAACTTCAAAACTACAAATGCACATTACAGGCAAACAATTCAACTCCCAAATTGGGTTATCTGGTTATCTTACCAGAGGTTTTGCATTCTTTCCTGCGACTAATTAAAAAAAATTATTTTATGTTTTGAAAAGGACACACCACAAAATATGTATCGAGTAACTGTCTCGATGATATAACAGTGTATGATTTATTACTGTTAAATTACAAAGAGTGACACCACATTTTCACATTTAGCTCCCAGTACTTGTATGTATTTCAGAGAAATCAAATGAAGTAGTCTTCTTTGCTGGTTACTCCTGATTGTAAAATGCAAAATGAATTTGAAAAACTTTGCATATAACTTTGAACCCACAACCTAATGATTCAGAGGCAAGAGTGTTTCCAAATCCCTGTCTGTCCAGCGCCTTGAGAAGTTCTCCAGACGTGAAAGGCACTACACAAATGTAATTTTGTATTGTATTGTGATGGTAACTGATGCCAACTGAGCCAGCCTGACACATTGATGAAGACCAGAACCATAGTTTTACATTTTTTTCCTGTCAATTTTCTCCCTTTTGCTTAATTATCACTTACTTGTACCTTACCTGTACTTGCAAGGAAAATGAAATTGTGCGCTGTTTAATAATGAATACATTTTGACTCAGATTTTTTGCGTTTGTACAGCAATTACTATGGGTAATGATGTATCACAAATGGACGACGTGGAGTGTGAACCATCAGCGTTGGATGAAATCAAGGTGATGATGTGATCCGTTTATATTTCTTCACTTCGTGTGCATTTTTCTAAGTGATTTTTCAGTGCGCTGTATCAGCGGGAAAGGTAGTATCCCAGAGCACTTGAATGAAGGGAACTCCCGCTGATTTTCTGCTTCCTATTCCAAGGCATTTGAGGTCAATTATAGTGCCCCTGGTGTCACATTGGCTAAGATCAATGATCAATCAGAGTAACGTTCCAGAACACTGAGCTATTCAGTGAGACTAGCTCACCCTTATAGGTCAGGAAAGGCTCAGGTCTACTTTGTCATCTGTACTCTTAGCTGATCTTAGCCGATGTGACACCAGAGGCACGATAATTGACCTCAATGCCTTGGATTAAGGAGCAGAAAACCAGCCTGGGGTTCCCTTCCTGATTGCTGACTCCTGCCTTGTGACTGCAGTTAACAGCGTTGGCATTGGTCAAAATTGTGAAGGCCCACATAGAAATAATTACAACTTGGCCTCGGTACCATGGGTACTAAGCATCCAATGAGGCATTAGCTCAGCAAAAAAGTAGTGAAATTTCCAAGTGAACAGTGAGGCAGTTTACACAGGCTGGCCACATTTGTGCATTAAAACCAAACCGAACAGTGTGTCATTTTATTGTGTGGTTCGTGACCGATGAGACGATCAAGCTTCTCAATGATGGATATAACCCCAAAATGATTAGAAAGGTTTTAAACCTTTGTTTCTTACGGCCCATGAATCTCAGTTCTTTCCCAGCTGCAGTTGCTGCCAATGTATCGTGTGATCGGGTTGGCAAATCTCCTGCAGGCACTTGGCCCGTGTGGGGTAGGATTTTTGTGACAGGAAGAGAAGGCACCTAACAGTTAAACGCTTCCTTGCCTGCACACTGTGAGAGTCTTTCCACCTCTCGCTGGCAGACCAAGCTGGCGTGAGGCAGAGTGTTGAGAAACTGGCATTCCCTTCATGGCCATTTTCAATTGGCAAGAGTCATGAGCAGAAGGAGGTAGTGTGCAGTAATGTGCCCATGAATTGGCTGCCTTGCAGCCCTCTTCAAATCCAAATACAGAATTACATATGAATTATCAGATCTTCAATAAATTGCGCTTTGCACAAAAAATGGATGTAACTTGTCATTTTAGATTGTGCTGTTCAATTATTTAACTTAAGGGGGGAAAAAATAATCCTTCCGTTGCCTTACATTATTGCCAGTACCTACAAAATGCATTACACAATTTACCTTGTTTTTTAACCTCACTTTTCCTTTTTCAGCCGGAAACTCAGACTGAAATTGTTCAAAATGGGTTCCAGAATTCAATCCAGTCTAACAACGTTGGTATGTATTTATCTATTATGTTCCACAGGTAACATGTAAAGGGTGGACACTGAGTGCAAATTTGAATTGAGGTCAAAATGTCCAATATGTTATATCAATGATATTAGCTACATTCTCCAAATATGCAATTTGCAACTAACAATTTAGATAGCAAATTTAGGACAATATCACTATCTTCTTTAACTTGCTAAACTTTTCTTTTGTAATCTTTATCATCTGCCTGAAAGTACAAACCATTTTATTATCTCCACTTCTTTTGGCTGTCTCAAATACAGCTTCAATCTTTTTGGCAAGGAGATCTTCCAACGCTTGTGTGTAAAGTGACGAGCATCTCTTTTGTTCCTTTTTTTCTTTTTTGATCTTTAGTATTTTATTTCTGTTTCACCATTCTGTCTCTCTTCATTCTTTGTTTCTCCATCTCAAGATATCAGCAGATTTTGTTACCTGATCAGGAAATTGCACTTGATATCTGGAGACCTGGCATGTGTGTAATGTGATGTGAAGCCTCTCTTATGTTTCTATTTCCCAACTACAATGGATTTGCCTCAATACCCTATTGTGTGTTCCAGTAGTTTTCCATTTTGTGTTGACTTGTTATTTTTACCTGTTTTATATTGTGACGTCCATCTTTGCCTCAAATTTCTTCTCAGTCCATTGTCCGATCGTTTCTGTTTTGAAACTATTCATTTTGCACACATTATTAACCCGATTGACAAAAAGATCAGTTTTGTCTGAAAAACTGACGGTTTTAATTGTTTCTTTGCCATGAAAACAGTCTGATCACTAATCCTACACTGGATGATCTGATATTATACTGTCATTTAATTGTGGGCTAGTGTAGGTGGACAAAACAGTTGCAAAGAAATTACCTGTATATGATGAGAAGTGATATTTACTTAATATTTGATAGATAGAGAAAGTCAGTGAGGTCAAAGCACATGCAAATAACAACTGTGGAGGGAAACTTCGGAAAGTTAGTTGACTTAATTCTCAATTATGTCAAAACAGTGGTGTCAGCAATAAGCAAAGCAGAAAAGATACTCGGCTACATTTAAGAACTTGCCAACTTCTGTATGCTCTGAAACGCTGAGAAAATAGAGTAATTCTAGACCCAGGTAGAATTTTTATCATTATATGTGTGTATAATCAACCAGGAAAGTTCCCATAAAAACTGTTCATGTTCTAAGAGAGTGGTGCTGCCTTAAATCCAAATATTAGCTATGATTCATCGTGTACCTTATGATCTCCAAGGCGCGACTCTTCAATATTAAACATAGATGCACTTTCAGTTATTCACATGAAATTAAAGAATCAAATGTTTAAGTTACTGAATATCTTTAGGTTCAAACCATGGATGTAAGTCTTGTGTGGACATTTTTTGGAGTCTTAAAAAAATCAGGCCCCTTCATCCATCCGTGCTTTGTTGCCTTTTTATTCACAAAATGTCTTCGGGAAAAATGAGGCAATAAATTTTCCACAAATAAAGTAACTCATGGCTAGTAAAACAAACAAACATCTGATCACTTATTTTATTACCCTCTGTCCGGCTATAGTGCTGCTCTGGATTTGGACCAGGTCCACAGTTGTTACACAAATCAAGGCTGGTTAAAAAATCAAAGGTTTGTTCCTGACCCCTTTTGTGTTTAGATTCAAGCATTATTGCAGGCTCGCCCCAGTTCTGACATTCACTGTGAAGTTACCATCTATAAGGCTACTATAAGTCTGGCTTTGTTGGAGGAGCTTGTGTTAATTGATTTTACAACATTGGGCTTTGATATACTCACTGAACCGTATTTATTAATAAAATGAGCAGCTTGCAGAACTGCTTCTAGTTTTGTTAAGTCAACAGTAATTCAACTCTTTGAGATGAGCTGCAACATAAACTTGACACAGAAAGCGTCCTCATTTTAATGAAACTTTCCAAAGGTAAGATGATATTGTGACAGCTTAATCTGTTAATTTTCCAGCATTGACATTTCAAGCCCTTGTTCTATAACAACCCCTCCTTCCACCGCCTACACCCCCCGCCCCAGGAGGTGCCGTCCTTTGGATAGGATGTGAAATCGAGGTCCCATCTGCCTTTTCAGTGGATGTTAAAGATCTCAAGACAATCTTTAAAAAAGCAAAGGGAGTTTCTCCTGGGTCCTGGGCAGCGATAATAATAATAGTAATCTGATTTGATATAGTGCCTTATCACATCGTTGAGATATCTTCACTTAATACACTGTAAAGTGGATTAACTGTGTATTTTGTGGGCGATCGTGAAAGCCAGTTTATCACCCAGATAAAATTAATCATTCACTTCATGGCTGTTTGCGGTACATTACTGTGTTCAAATTGGTTGCTATGTACATCCACAAATACACAGCCGCTATACATTACAGTAAATCCTACAAGATGTTCTCCTGAAATGCAAGGATTATTATTATTATGATGATAGGAGTAAGGTGTTTTCTGGAACTCCCCTTCCCCCCACTTTCTCCCCCACCCAGCTTCCCCCTCTCCCTCCCCCCTCCCTTGCCCCCTTCAAAAAAGTCAAAAAGGTAGAATTGTGGCCCTGGAGAAACTGGAGTCTGGCAAGTGAGCAGAAGTAAGGAAACTTCCCCAAGGTTTCACCCTGCCGGGAATCGAACCTAGGTCTCTTGCTTGTGAGGCGGGTGCTCTAACCACTGAGCTACAGGATTCCATACAATAGTAGTAGTTCATTATAAAGCAGGAATTGCATTCCCATGGTTTGAGTTTCCCTGAAACTGAAAGTCTATCGTGTATAGCATCATTTCAACGTGAAAGACGCTATAGTATATAAATGTAAAATTGTATTATAATTTGTATTCCCCCAACAAAACGTAGACAGAGAATGTACAGCTAGAGAGTGCACAGAAGTCTGCTTCTGTCTGGATTTTAGACACTGCAGTTGGAAATATAGCATCGTGATATCCTTTGTTCAGTGATTAGACATCTCTTGTAGGTAACTTTTTGATTGTTTAGTTCTTCACATGCCACAGGAGTCACGTGATAAAACGTACCTGTTTCAGAAGCAGTATTTCTGTCTTTTACAGGTGCACACACGGAGTCAACCACAAAGGTGATTGGCAGTGAGTCTAAGAAACATCTAAGCCTTCTACTAATCAAGCTGGTTATGTTTTTTCAGCCTTAGCTTCAGAAATCAAATCGGAGAAACACAGACTCCATTCAGAATCTGTGGGTGTGTCACTGTGTACAATGAGGGCTTGCTGGCTTCGTCACTTGTTTTCTTCACATAAGCTACTAGCGTTCAACTTTGCTTTTGGAATGGGGCGTGGGGGGAGACAGAGGGGCAGGGAGGGGACATGAGAGCAAAGCTTGATCCTCTGCTCAAACTAAATTCCACAGATATGAACCTGCCTACAGAGGTCATTGAATAGGAATCAGAAGAGGGACTCTTGGCTCCTCTATGTTTCCAGGAGCATTGAGTCTAACTGTGGCACTCCTGCCACTGCCTTGGCTGAGATCAGCAAAGTCAATAGCAAAGGCGCAACCAGGCAACTAATGTGTAGAGATTGATGTGTAGGTTCCAAAGCAAATAGGAATAAATTGTCTCCATTTATTGGACAAATGGGTGAAGGAAGGAAGCAGATAAAACACTGGCTTTGTCTCACTGTTCATACAGTTTACAACCACATCAGGCAGAGCTCTTAATAACTGAGGCAACAGAGGGAGATCCGTTTAGATTAAACAACTTTTTTTTTGATCTCGTGTCTGGGCAGTAGATGAGAGAATGTGAAGCTGAACGAAGGCGAGTCGAACCAGAAACACAAAAAAAAAACATATCATGGATAACCAGTACTTCCATCCTCGAGTACATTTTTTTAAAAAAAGTTTAAAATAATGAGGAAATTATTGATTGAAAAATGACAAGTCTCATTTGTGACAGTGTTTCAGCTCCTTCCTTCCTTCCTTCCTTACTTCCTTCCTTCCTTCCTTCCTTCCATCACCCATTTGTCCAGTAAATGAAGACAGTTTTTCCCTATCTGCTTTGGAACCCAGACATTAATCTCTTTCAGTTCAGCATAAGGGGTACAACAGCTGTGCTGTTTGCCCGGTTATTTAAGAAACAAGTGGCTGCTGTGCTGTATCACAGTCGTGTTACGTTGCATATAATTGGACCTTTAGAACCACTTCATCTAAATGCTTCACTGTCCTCAGTCGCATCTGATATTTTAAACTTAGCCTTTTTTTTTACTCAGAGAGTTGCTACGATCTGGAATGCATTGCCTGAAAAGGTGGTGGAAGCAGATTTGATAGTCGCTTTCAACCACAACAACAACCTTGCATTTATATAGCGCCCCAAATAAAAGGGTAGCGTCCCAGAGCGTTGACAGTGGCGTGACCCTACCCCAAGCTGGTGGGAGGGAGGAGGTGGCCGTAGGCACGATCGGAGAGGAAGCAGCACACGAGGGACAAGCAGGAGCCAGTTGAGCGGAGGCAGCAGGTAGTGGGTTCGGGAGTAAGCAGGTTGGAGAGGTGGGGAGGTGCCAGGGTATAAAGGGATTTGTAGATGAATGTGAGGATCTTGAAATCGATCCGTTTGGTGATAGAGAGTCAGAGCACCCTGGCTAGAACTGGCGTGATGAGAGTACGGAGTTTAGTGCAGAGTTCTATGATTCTATGATTCTAGTTTTAAACTTTCAACTGAAAGCTGAGACGTTACCAGTGACAGTAAAAAAAATTTTTAAAACAGCTCCACCCTTTTCGAGAATTTCCATCAGAAGTTATCTTCTATTACCGAGATCACTGTTTACTTTAGGTACCAAGTCCAAATGATTGAGATGTTGTTGTGAACGAAAGTGCTGGCTTTAATGGTAAGTGGTGGTTTGGGGATGAAAGCTATAATTCAGTGAGTGAGAAACATTGAAACTGTACTCTCAGCGGAGATAGCATGGCCCACAGCACTTTTTTCTAACATCCCTCTAAAGTAGAAGCTCTACAAATGCAGTCACTATGATTTACAGTAAATACTGTGAAGCACTTCGAGGCATCACCATAACATGACAAAGCATTATATCAAATTCAAAGATTAAGATTATTATAAATTTCATTTGACCATTGAAAGATATTATCATAATCTTTCTAAATATGCATTCATTTATTTACCTTTTTAGATATAGATGGGATGTTCCTTTTGGCAGGGACGTACTATCTATAACAAGAACATGTGTCCGGTTACCTAATCATCATAGAAGCAGCTGTTAATACAAAGTCCTAGCAATCTTTTCACCCACATATTCTCTTACAATTCCTGCCCATGGGGGTCTGTCACATGCTGATTACTAGGAATGGCCACGTTTGTGTTGCCTTTATAATGACAATAGAACAGGAGTAGTGATTCAGTTCATAGAGCCTGTGCTGTCAGTTTATTAGAGCAAGGCAACTTTTAGTACCATTTCCCCACCTTTTCTTCCATAACCCTTAATACACTTACTTTCCAAGTATCATCTCTATCTCCCTTTTAAACATCCTGGTTGATCCTACCTTTGTGGTCTTCTTGTTTCAAAACCCTCTGTGTGAAGAAATGTTTCCTGATCTTCCAAGCACCCAAGCTCTAAATATTAAGGAGAAAATGTGAGATGTCAGTACAGTACCATTAATAGAATTAATCTTTTGAGGTCTGTCCCAGCTGTTCTGAGATGGATTTTAAGGAAAGTTTGTGGTGCAGTTACATGACTCACCGGAATTGTGCTCTGAGAGCTATGTGTTTGGCAGTTGTACAGAAAAAGGTTTCACAAAATGCTTCCTCAGAATGCACAGAACTGTATTTCCCTTTTAAAGAGAAAAGGGACATTAATCCATTCACAATGAATATGCAACTTGTGCTGTCTCTCTTTCATAGGTCAATGGTAATATGCTGTAGACTTGTACAAACAATCTTCTGCTACAGAAATTACAGCCTGGCTATAAACCCAACTGGAACTTCCTCCAAGTTAATGATAATAATATTACCTGTATTTGACATCGTGCCTTTTATGTTGGGAGGATGACTCAACACACTTCACAGCAAAATGTAGTGACTGTGTATTTTGTAGGCCAACGTGGCAGGTCATGTTTGCTTTCAACAAACAGTCACTACACTTCATGCTAAAAATCCCGCGACCAGCCTTGAGACGGTTCGTGATAAGGTGCTATATTAAATGCAAGGCTTTATTTATTACAATTTATTATAACTTCTTAATCAAGCATTGAAGCACTATCTTGTACCTACCTCATGGCATTGCTGCAATTAATTGAAATATGCACATGACCTTCACGTTTTATAAGCTTTTTTAGCCTGTTCGCTCTCTAAATCAGTGACTACAACCCTCTATTATGCTCAGCGTTCTTTAAAAACTACTAAACTGGTAGCTTACTCCTTTGAAAATGTTTACGCTGTAGTTTGGACCGTTGTTTCGTGGTATTATATGGTTGAAAATTTTTTTTCTCTAGTTCTGCTTGAAGTCTTTGAAGCAAATGATGCTCTAATCCAGGTAGATGGTAGACATAATCCAATTTAATATATCTGTGATATGTCAATCTCAAATAGATATACAGCAAATCATATTCACTGTGGTGATTGATTATTAACAGGTTCTCTGCTTATATCTTATTTGCTGTAGACACAGTAGCAGATGCTAACCAGAACACTGAGTCCTTCACATCGCACACGACAATAGAGATGAGTTCCAAATTAATGCAGATGGAAAAGGTCTCGGGAAGCCTGCCAAGAAGACTGAGACGGCTTCTAAATCTATCTTTGGCAAAGCTTTGTCTCACAATGTGCTGAAGCCTAATCATGGCAACTTGAAAGAGCCGTTGTCAGAAATGACCAACCAAAATAACACAGCGATGGACACAGCACCAGTTGATAACTGGGATCTTCGCGAAGTGTTCTCACAGAAGCAAAGCCCCATTCCGAAGCCGGAGCAGATATCCGCTGAAACATCACCTGCGGTCGAGCTCCCGAAAGGAGGGAGCCCCAAGGAGGAAGCAGTAACGCAACCGAAGCAGAAAGAAATCGGTTTCTTCGAAAAACTGTTCAAACAAGGAGATAAAGGCAAAGGAGCAGCCAAGGAAAACCAGCAGGAATCAAAGGAGACTGAAAGTCCAGATGCAGCCACTGCTGAGAGGGAAGCCACTGAAGTTCTACGCAGACTGGACAATGTCCAGCAAGTATTGGTGAGCACTGTTTAATTGTTTCTAGCGCAGTGTTTGCATATCTGTTCAAAATAACTGCAAGGAATGTTGTTATCGTTAATGTAGCACCCAGCAATGCTGGGAAGATGTTCAAATGCCAAAGGCAGGGAAGGTGACTATTTAACTAAAGAAATCTGCTGCACAAAAAGTTGGATAATTTCTTAGTTAAGTGCTTTTAACTATCAAAAGCACATTAACTAAATGCTTTGCAATCTTTATGGTCATTTTATCTTTATCTTTCTTTCCAATTTTCCTGTTGAATGTCTTATCTGACTTATCACATGTAGGATTTGTTTTCATATTTATTTTCAATGGGCAATTCGTCTTAGCAATGAGTTTTGTGAGACTAATCGAGAGGAAGTTGCAGTAATTAGCTTTTCTTTGTTGTTGATGGGCTTGGTCAATTCTGTGTAACTCTGTATAACTATGTGACAGAGACAATGATAGGAAATGTAGACAACACTGCAATGCACTGTTGTTTTTCATTCTCCTATAAAATACACAATCACTTCACTTTACAGTATATCCTGTGAAGTCCTTTGAGATGTCCTCCCGGCATGAAAGGTGCTGTATCAAATGCAATGATGATTCCTGATTCATTGTGCCAAAGGTTTAGAATCCACAACATGTAGAATTTACAATGCTATATTAAGGTCAAATTAAAGGCAATGTACTGTTTTTTTAAAAGTCCTAACACAAGAACATTCAAATTGGATAGAGCTGTTGGTGTATTGTTTCTTCAATAGACAATCAAGCTTCATTGCATTTTATTTCTATGAATAATGGCAAAAATGTTCCACAGTATGTTCTACAGTACCTCAATCAGCAAGTATCTAATCATTATGTGATATGGAAACTATATTCATTCCAATAAAACTGGTCAGTTGTATACACAGTATTGAGTCTGATCTGCACCAAAGGAGGTTATCATCAAACAGGATCTTACAGTGAATCTGAGGCTTATAATTTTGATTTAATGGAAGAACACCTAAGAGAAGTGAATTAAGAGTTTGCTATAGTGCAGAATGTAGTTTATACTTGTAGTGTAAAATCGATATGACCTAAAGGTCTAACTGTGATATCTGTACCAATACCTTGCTGTACAGTGAGTGAGTGTTCATGGATGCTGGGATATGGCTTTGATGTGGTTCACCCAATGTTATGTAGCCTACTAAAACTCACGGTGGACTCGCACATCAAGAATTGCCATTTGGGTAAAGCAATAGAAGCAGCCAGTGCCTAGCAAAAGAGTTGGAGTTTATGTGCGTATGTGTTTGTCTTCTCAGTATTGTTATTGGAGACATAGAAAATCCAGATAAGACTTTAAACATTATCTCAGCAGTAAACTCGTGACCTCATTCAGCTGGTGCGCTGCATTAATAACACAAATAAAATTATGTGTGTGTTTTTACAGTGCTCAGCCCTTGATTGACCTATCCTTTACATCAATTTAATCAGTACCGGGTGCCCTGTTGTTTTCATCTTGTAAGTGGCTCTGTTATATCCTAAGCTGCCGGCGCTGTTTGCATTGCTGGGAGAGTTCCACAACAGCAGGCAAACAACTACGCGCGCACATACACTGAGAAAAGGTGGAGAGAGATCCTCAGTCAGGAAACCACTGCCTGACCTGCTGATCCTAGCAACAGCTGGGAAAATTGGTGACCTGGGGAGTAAAGTTTGTGTTGCACATTAATGCAATAGAGTAAATTCTCCATTAAATTGGATTAAATTCCATAAAGTATTGCAACTCGGGACAACAAATTAGTATGAAGTCAAAGAGGATTCAAACCTGTAGCTATCGCACTTTGCTATAGGGTGGTGACCCACTATATTACTGCTTCCATGAATTATTAGTCCACGTTCTTAATTGCTGTTCAAATATGCTCCACCAAAAACAACAGTCCAGCCATGTTACACGTCATTAAAAAAACACAATCATGAACAAATGTCGGCTCAAATGGCAAAGACACTGGCAATGTAGAACTCAGCAATTCTTCATGTAGTGTGGGCAAGGCAATGAGAATTGTCATGCTATTCGAGTGAGGGTAACAGGGAGATACTGAATTTGGTTTCTGGCCTGTCCAGAAGAAACTCAAAAGATCCGTACAGCAGCGTGCATTAATCTAAGATCACCCTGCTTTTTGAAGTGAAGTTTATAGATGTGAGACTGAGCGTGTTATGCTCAGCACTGAACCGAGCTGTCGGGAATGGAACGAAGCGACACAAAGCCACGATTTAGAGGCTGCAAGTCTCTACTCTGGCCCGGATCCAAGGTGATTTCCAGTGAAAGATCAAGATCATGCCATCACTCGCCACCTGTTTTATTTTAGTACAGTAAGGAAATGCAAGAATACAGAAACAATAGTCAGCATCTACTCTATTGCCTTGCAGCAGAAATTGTGTTACTTTTAAAAATGAAGAATTATTAGAGGTGTAAAATGACTTGCATCATACATTTATGAGAATTAATATAGTCCGATTATGGAAATTGATATTAAACATATTAAATATAAGCATTCTGAGACTGATGAAGGCTGTCATATAAATGCAAGTTGTTGTTAAAAACACCAATGTGCTGGTGTTGTTGTAGCTGTTAACACGGTTGATGGGCTAATCCAGTTTACCTGGGCCGATTGCAGGTTCATTGTGAAAACTGTGTGTGTGTGAATCTATATTTATAAATATATTTATTTACAGTCATTACATTTTATAGTATGCCCCGTGAAGCGCTTTGAAACGGCCTCCTGATGTGAAAGGCGCAACAGAAAAATGGAAGGACCACCATAATCTTGTCATTGTCAACAGTGAAAGCAGATTACTCCCATTTATACTGCCCTCGCCCAGGGTGTAGTCTCGTTCTCCAGTAGAGGATGTGCCTTTGTGAAATTGTTGGACGGAAGCCAGCAAGGGGATGGAAAGGATGCAAACACAAAGTTGATAACCAGTGTTTATTTACTATTTAAGCAATTTATCTCTAAAAGCGGTCAGATAAGCTGAGAGATCGGCTATGTTCTAAACCAGTGAGCACCGTAGATTGCAAATTCCTAACATTCATTATTCATCAAGATTTTGCATTGAATTAAATTGAATCTACCCCATCATATTCCATCAGCAAACTTGCTGCATTGGAGCTGCATTGCCCTGCAGGTATGGGTTTGAACTGTAGAATCCAGTGGGGTTTGCATTGGCACGTTAGTAACCCATTTTTAAAAAAAATAAATTTAGTATTTCAGTGATTCCCCGGAGATTGGTTACCTTCTGGTAACCAATCAAAGAAAATTAGGAAAGGAGGTGTTAACTATTTGGAGTTGATTTATATAATTCATTAAGTCAGACCAGAAGATGTTCTGTGTTGCTCTTGTTCTGACATTCTCTATTATACGTCAAAAGTGCTTTCAAAACATCTGCTTATGGTGACACAAATTCCTCATTATCCCGCTCCTGTTAGTGTGTTGCAGTAACAATGAGCGATCTGTGGAAACACAGCTATGCTGTTTACTCCAAGTCAAACACTGCGTTGGTTTATACCAAGTGGCCAGGAAACAATGATTGCACTTCTTACTGTTGTCTTTGAACAATTTGTTTTTCTTCTCGGAGCCGAACTGAAAGTGTTCTGTTTGAGATTCCTCATGACCAGTGAACGCTGAGATCACTTTTATTCAATGGATTGGAAAATAAAATCATTGTTTATGTAATGCACAAATGTGTTCTGTCTATACGAACTCACCACAAAGAACACCCCCGGAGTGCATGCATAATGTACTCTGTTTGTCCAGCTTGTAAGTATTCAATTTTTTTTGCTGCGGATTTCTTTTTTTGCCAATTTTCTCCCCTTCACGGACTCTTGCTGGAACGTAGTTTCATGAGTGGCCTCTGGTACCAATCTCTTAGTGACTATTCTTCAAGTGCAAGCCTACACAGTGAGTAACGGTTGGCCATTCAGTTGTGGAAAGCGTCACTGACAAGCCTGATTGTAGTCTCGCTCAATGTCAGGGCACAAGTAACATCTCAGTAGCCATCACCAGATAGCAATCGAGTACGGGAATCCTGGATGATTTTTTCCCCCCCTTCACCCAGCTCAGATGCATTGAGGCCAATTGCAACATCCCGACTGAGATTAGCCAACTCATTGCAGACCAGGAATCGATCAAGGAACCTCAAGGCTAAGAAGTATCTTGACGTACAGAGAGACATACCGTGAGCTTGAAGGAAACTGGAGTGTCTCCATTATGGGCAGGTATCTCTTTACTGATGGGACTAACTTGGCTCTCTCATTCTGAAGCGTTGAGGTGTTGCTACAAAATTCTAGCTAAGTGGCACTTAGAACCTCAATTCACTGCAAAGATGCTCATTTGATTTTTTTAAAATTTGCTATTATCCACTACCACGCTATGGAGTTTGGATACTAAAAATCTGAAGCTTTACAAATTTCAGTGAATAAACTAACCCTTTTTTAAAAAATACCTTCATTGGTCTTTTAATGAGACATCAATACTCTGCCTTCTGGTTGCATCTTACAGAATCTGTCAGTCGTGAGGTGAAATAATTTTTATTGATGTGCATTAAGGACAATACAACTGTGTCATGAAATGTTTGTCGTTGTCCGGCTTTAAGGTCGGTTCAGAGAAATTGCTGGATGATAGTTTCCATTTGATAAAGATTTGCTCTCTCTGGTATCTAAAGTGCTGGTTCCAGAATTATCACTGATTATTGTAGATTAGTATCCCTGATTCGTATTCTTAAAAGCATCATGTTATGAAATCCTGTAGCTCAGTGGTTAGAGCACTCGCCTCGCAAGCTAGAGGACCTGGGTTCGATTCCGGGCAGGGCGAAACGTTGGGAAAGTTTCCTTACTCCACACGTCTCTGTTGACCAAGCCGTATGTAGGAACCCGGTTGTTAGTCAATTGGTAGATCGCTTTTCCAGAGGTAATTCCTTCAAAAAAAATAATAACAAATTGGTCACTCAATCCACAACTGTTTGGCTGCCGCGTTTCGCCCACAAAAAGTACAGTCAATTCACTTTATAGTATATTCTGTAAAGCGCTTTGAGCCATCTCAAAGACGTGATAAGGCACTATATCAAATGCAGGGATTGTCATTATTATTATGTACTTTTATTTTTTGCATCAACTGTATCGGAAAAATGACATAGTTTTCAAATCACTTGCTCGATGCCCTGCTGAGTTTTATTTTAAAAAAAGCTCTGCCGTTCTTTCTGCTGAAATGAACGGCATTCAATTGTCAGCATAAAATCACCTTGTTTCATGTCTTTAGTTTGTAGAAATGTTGGCGTTGAAATTGTGTTTTCCAGTGAAACGTTCGAATCACTCTCTAAAGAATAATAATAATACTTGCATTTGATATAGCGCCTTAACACGTTGCTGAGGGATCTCAAAGTGCTTCACAGGATATATTGTAAAGTGAATTGACTGTGTATTTTGTGGGTGAAACGCAGCAGTCAATTACGCACAGCAGATTGAGTCAGTATTCAGATCAAGTTATTATTTCAGAATGATTTTATGTACAATTCATAGACAGTTTTCGAATAAGAACTTCTTGTGTTTATTTTTTCTCTCCTGAATTGACTTCATAACTATGTCTTATTGCAGACTATTTCAACCCTACGCTCCTGTGAGTTTGGTTTTATAATGTCGTATGTAAGGCAGAGCAATGAAATCAAACTCCTTGCTACTAACCATAAAGATCCAGTCAGTCTCAGATTCTGCCAATAATTTCTAGTTAATTAAATTATCTATAGTAATAATAATCCTTGCATTTGATATAGTACCTTATTAACATCGTTGAAACATCTCAAAGTGCTTCACAGGATTTATTGTAAAGTGTAATGACTGTATTTTGTAAGCAAATGTGTCAGGAAATTTGTGCATAGCGATAGCTCACAAACAGCCATGAAGTGAATGATGAATTTTATCCGGAGAACACTGTTGGCCAGACTTTGGGAGAAACCCCCTTTCTCTGTTCGAACAGTGACATGGAATCTTTAACATCTAACGAAACAAGCAGACCAATCCAATGCACTGCATTGGAGTTGTGGCGTGAATTATGAGCTCAAAGTCCTGACATGGGGCCTGAACCCACAATCTTTGGACTCTGATGTGATAATGCTGCCAACTGAGCCAGGCTGACACCTGGACTGGGGTTACAGGTGACCTTACCATATTCAGGTTAGGGTAGGTTTGTTAAGAGTTCCTCCAGCTGAGAACTATCCAATGAAACCACCGACTTTGGTCATGTTTCTCCCACAGCCAAATAGTCCAACAGCATTCTCTATTCCAGGTTAACACAAGGCAATCAGCCACTTATGCAAGGTACTGGATGACCACACTTATCTTAGGAACCTTGAGGGGAGTAAGAGAAGAAACTAGGACCGAGATCCTGCCGAATCATCCCGCATTTAAAACTTTTAAAAACATTTAAAAACAAAAAGTTTTCAGAATGAACCTTAGTGAACGCCAAATTGTTTCTAAGTCTACTTTCCGCCAGAAATCATTCTGCGTAAGTCATGTGCTGGACTTTGTGTATTTTAGAATGAAGGCGACAAGGATAGTATAAGGCCATCGCATGTTGACAACGCATCTCAAAGCCCTGTGTTTGCCGATTCTTCTGTTACTGAGAACCCGAACGAGTCTGAGGATAAAAGAGACAAGGGTGCGAACGCAGAGACTTTCGCAGAAGAGAACCCCGTCATGAATTTCTTCAAAACTCTCGTAAGTGATGTTCAGGGGTAAGTGAATGTTGACGTGTATTTTTATATATATATATGTATATATACAGATCCAGCAATCAAGAGGGCTCAGTATGGAGTTCATCACATTTCCGCAGATGGATAAGAAGAATGTTCAGGAATGTAAAGCCCGGTTCTTCAACGAAACTGCGAACAAAAACGCAAAGCACTGTATGCATCTGTTTGTCTTCAACCACGAGGTTGTCGGGGGTGGGGGTGGTGGGGTGGTGGGCACAGCTTCTACTCTTTGATAAGCTGCAGGGGAGACCCCGCTACAACTCGCTTGTTGGCATTCCGTAAAATTCCAACCCGTGTTACAAGCGAGGCCGCAAAACAGCCAACGCTGGTCAGTGTCATTTCACAGTCTAACCTACGAGCGCCATTCTAGCGCTAATAGGATTTTCATGCGTTGACCTCACAAAATACCGAGGTGCGTTACCTCTCGCCTTGCAAGCGGGGACAAGCGCTGCATTCAAGGGCGTAACAGCCGGGGAGTTGCCTTGCGTCTGGTTGCAAATCGATGCGGTGGAATGATCGTCAAAGCGAATTGTTCAAATAAACAGTAATTCCAATCAATGCCTCTGATTCCAATCAACGTCTGAAATTCCAATCAACTCGTGAAATTCCAAACGAGGCGTTTCAGGCCAATCGCCAACCACAAGAATTGAAACAAAAACCACGCTGTAATTTTCCTTGTAGGTATCCCCTACAAAATCCCCTTCCAAAATAGAACTCGAGCCACAGCATGCAGGAGAGGAAGAGGTAAGTGTTCGATCTTATTAAAACGTTTTTCTCCCCCTGCGGCCTTGCAATTAATGGTAATCCTTGCATCCGATGCAGTGCCTTAGCACGTCGCCATGACTCAAAGTGCTTCACAGGGATTGCTCTAAAGTGCAGCAGCGACTCGATGGGCAAAACAGTCAGCCTCCCACCACCACAACCACCTCCAGCCAAGGGGATCGAGCCAAGTACCGGCTTCCAGGGTTGCCTCAACGGATGCTGGAAGGTGCCTGGGAGTGAGTGGTCCATTATTCCTGCTGCAGCGTTCAAACTGCATGGATAAGTATTTGTCATACAGTGCATTGTCTAGGAAACTTGCCTAATGTTTCGACCTGCCTGGGAATTGAACCCTGGTCCTCTCGCTTGCGAGGCAAGTGTTCCAACCAATAAGCTACAGGAAGTTTTTCTCAATAGCAGTTAGAAAAGCAGGATTAACACAGGTTTGACCAGTGAAGCATTTATTTTCTCAAAACAAGTGGCAAAAGATGAATTTCCCTGAGTTGGCAGTCCCCATCATGCAGACCTCTAGAAACGCAGAGAATATTTCAAAGATGTGATTTGCGTATTGTGCATTTGTAAAATGGAATGGGGTTCTTTTGCCCTAAGATGCCTGATGGTTTATGTAACTTTGCCAGAAAAAGAAGTTCTACATTTTAATTGAAATGTACTTGAGAAAATCTTTAATGTAAAGAAAGAAAAGTTGAAAAAGAGTAAGCTTTCTGTTTGTCACTAGATATCGCTGGAGTGAGGGTTAAATACTACAGTAGAGAACATTGGCCCATAAATACACACTGGAGAACATTGGCCCATCGCTACCCTTTATAGTAAATCTTGTGAAGCGCTTTGAGATGTTTTGATGATGTGATAAGGCTCTAGATCAAATGCAATGACTATTGTTTGTCGTACTTCCAAATCACGTTGCAGTGTATTGTGTTACAGAAAGCAATATTGCATGTTTTAATGTTGCACCTCAACACACTGTTAAGCAGGGATCTGGTGATGTTCTGTGTGCTTTCCAGGGGCTGTGTTCACTTGTGCGTCTGTAAAACATTTGCACCACCATCAGTACAAATGTTTGTCTTGATGCAAGCCTGCAAGACAATGTGAAAAAGTGGTAACAAATTAAATCATAAATCATAGTAAACCCCAAAATGTTAAACTCAATTTAATGTTATCCAATTGATTTTATAACAATTACACTACAACAGGAGAGATTTGTTTTGTAGATGAATTTAGTAGAGAACATTGTTCGGTACAGAAAGTATACCTTGAGGAAGGTTTAATTTTATCGGCAGGTACAATCTACCGCCGTGGTTAGTCTCGCACCGGCAAATATTACAGTGAGTAATGGCTGCCTCTTTTATTCTGGATGGCGTAAAGATAAAATCAAATGGAGAAACCAAAGAAGGGGCAACGAAAGCTTCTGAACCAACACAACCAGAACTTCAACAAGAAGTACCAGAGTCCCAAGCAAAGCCCAAACCAGTGAAGGAGCCGTCACAAAATCCATTTGGGAAGCTGTTTAAATCAAAGGTCGGTAACAATTCTGTAATCTCGTTATGTTCCACAAGATTGGTTTCATTGATGATTGTCCCTCATCAGCTGTTGTTACTGTCAACAACATTCTCACAAATTACAAAGTATATTGTTTTTCTGTAATATGCAGAACATGAAATAAATTCCAATGTCAATGATGGGCAAATCACTTGATCCACTTATGAATTCTGGTTAAGCTGAATTTACGCATCTTGTGTGTGTGGGTGTGTATGAATACCTGTGTGTCTGTGTGTGTATGTGTGCCTGTGTGTGTGTGTGTGTGTGTTTGCGGGTGTGCCCAACAGTCTTCCATCTAGTTTTCAAATCCAAATACTGCCAGAGTTGCCTCCATTAAGGAAATGCTAAAAAGCAGTAATAAATCATTCAGGTTTCATTTATTATAATAAACATTGGCTGAGGTGTGTTGAAAGGCAGTAATACATGGGTTTGAGAAGACATTAATAAACTACTCAATCTTTTCAGTTTCTTTAAAGTATTGCCAGCTCATCGCGTACGTCATCTTAAAATGCTTACTTAAAATGTATACAGGTAATTGTGAAGCTCCCTCTGATGGCTATGTAAGTAAAGACATCAGCCAATGCAGCACCAAGACACACACATACAGTACATACACACACACCATCAGAAGATTACTAAATGTAACATTCACTTAACTACATGACCTGAAGTTAAACCGGTGCAAGTTGGTCTTTCTTTATAAACAAGTTGCGGAAAATTTGGAGTCAACATTACTCACCAAACCAGTTGTACGCTTGTCTAGGTTCAAAAGTTAACTGCACTTTGTGGGGGGGGGGGGGGGGGTTTCAGCAGTGAGAAGTTTCAGTGAACGATTGATTAATCTTTGGTCTGTCTCTGTTCCCTCAGGCTGCCAAGGAAGCACCCCAGAATGTAAGTTAGAGCAATGCAATGGCAAGAAATACATTTACATTTCCCGTGCTACCAAGTTCAAACTAGGATTAGTCAATCACTCAACAGCGTTAACAAAAATCATAGGGAAATCTAGGCCGAGACCACCCTACAACAGGGCCAGAATGTATTGTGGCAGATAGCTTCCAAAGGTGGTAGAGATTCGACAATCATAGGCGGGTGTAAAACACAACAGAAATAGATTGCATTGGAACAGAATTCCTGCAGGTCAGGGTGACATGCCAGAAGACATAACCCTGTTTGTGAGTCCAAGCAATTATTGAGAAATTCATTTGGAAACGCCAAATTTTAGATCCCGATTTGACCTCAACTTCTCAAAGGCAGCGTTTCAATCACCTTAGAGGAATCTTCACCCAGGTCTGAAAAGCTGATTTTTAGGAATTCTTTTCCAGACTGTGGCGAGTATGTGGAACACACTTGCAGAGGCCGTGGTTGAAGCAAAAAGCATCAGTACATTAAAGAAGAGAGAGAAGGGTATAGTGAAATTAGAGGGGAGACTAGGGAGGGGGTTTAGGATTGGTAGCTGCTCGTGGAGTCTAGTGATTGTCAGAGGGCAACTGTACTCCAGTATGAGTGAAAATGTACTCCAGTGAAGTGTAGTATCTCCACAGGTTGCAATTGGCAAAACATTAGTTCTGCCAGTCTTATCGCTACAGTATTTCGAATGGGTATTGACGTGAAACCTTAACTCATTTTCCTCCCTGCATGGATGCTACCTGACCTGCTGCATGTTCCCAGAACCTTCTGTGTTTATACCAGATTTCCAGCATCTGCAGTACTTTGCCCTTTGCTACAGTATTTTGTTGGGGATGGGATTAATATTGCCAGAGGTCTAAAGAACACTTGTTAGGACAGCTACGAAACATGTATCTTTGACAATGTTGACTCGAGAAAAATTATACAATGTCATTGATTTTCAGTAAATCCTTACATTTGATATAGCGAATGTCGATAAAATTTGCATTCTACAAGGAAAGCGTTGCATTCCTTCCTCTGAAAAATGTCACAAACATTTGAGTCAGCCCACAAACCACTTAGAAGAATGGAGCCTCAGGCGTAAGCAAATTGGTACTCTACATACCAGATCATCAGATTTACATTGCAAAGGAGACTTGTTCTTGAGATTGTTCATTATTTCCTCTGCATTAGCAATATAATGCGATTGCAATAATGTCAAATGGCCATAAGGAGAGCCAAGTACTTTGTCCCACTAGTGCTATGCACTTTGAGGCTTCTCTGTTGATTTATGAGGTCTATTTTTCAGCGCATTTATAGATGCCTATCTTTTTACAGAACCTGTAATTAGCAGAAATATCCAGAGTCCAAATAATTTGCATGGAATCAAATTATTTTCCAATATTTAGTTCCTGGGACAGATTCTGTGTTCATTTGCATTGTAGAAAGCTATTTGCATAACTGCAGCTTTACTGAGAATAAAGTGCAGGCAGATTTTTGGCAGGGAATCATGGCATTGCACTGCTTGTTGCTGGTAGCAGGTTGGAAGTCTCAGACTTTTGTGCAAGTTTTATTTTAGTTAGTTCTTTCAGCAGAATGCTATCAACACACGGAAGGGATCTTCTATTTAATTTCCTACAAAACTTTGTTTCGCCCACAAAATATGCAGTCAATTCAGTTTACAGTGCATTCCGTGAAGTGGTTTGAGACGTCTCAATGATGTGATAAGGCATTATATCAAATGTAAGAATTATTATTATTTCATCAAATGCCTGAATAACAATCACTCCTAAACTGGTTTATAGTTTCCCAGCCAGCAATCTGAAATCATTTTCTGAGGATAGAACTCCTTCAAGGATCCCTCCTGAATTACTAGCGACTGCTTTGAACTTTGTTGTGGCTTTGTGAATGAAATGATTTTTTTCAATAGGATTGTCCTGGGAACTAAATACAAAAGGAGGGTTTTACATACTAACTGCAAGTAATCCAGTCTGAAGCTTGAATTTTCCCAGAAATTGTAGGTTTTTTTTCAACAGCAATCATTTCTGTACTAAGACAGTTTTAGAAGACATTCGATGCAAGTCATACTTTTATGCAATATACGTTGTTGTTCACAGTGGTTGTGCGTCTGTGGGGAATATTTGAGGATCTGCAGCGCTGTTCATGAGGCAGTGCCATTGTATGAATGGCCAAGCCTTTTTTCTAAGAAGAGGAGGCTGTAAAACAGCTCAGACGAGCTCACAGCTGTGTAGCAGTCGGAATTACCACTAGATTTCCAGTCAAACAATGGCACAGATTTTAAATAACATTTGCCCTTCATGACCTTGGCTTAATTTTGTAGCTGCTTCGTTTGTGAGTGCTTGTTAATTTTATTGCCTGTTAAATTACAAAAATTTCCCAAGTTGGGACATCGGCAGAGCAAATAAATGACGTTATCACAATTCGTATTCACCGACAATTAGTCTTATGTCCACATGATCCAATGCTGCTCAATAAATTATATTAAAAAAAACTTGATTCACGAGAAAGAAATCCCTGAAAGGGTGGTGAAAGCAGATTCAATAATAACTTTCAAAAGAGAATTGAATATTTACTTGAAAAGAAAACAATTGCAAGACTACGGAGAAAGATTGGGGGAGTGGGACAGATTGGACAGCTCTTTCAAAGCGCTGGCACAGGCACGATGGGCCAAATGGCTTCCTTCTGTGCTGTCGGATTCTATGAGTCCATCATTCTATGGGTTCACTGATCTTGGCTGCGCAGCAGTAAGGCACTGTAAGGGATTTAATGGCTTTGGGCAACGACTTGAAAGTGCGTCTGTGTATATTTGTCAGGTAAAGGCAGCATCAGGCTGCTCTGTGATGCCCGTACAGTTGACTAACCCCTGACACTTGCAATCTGGGCTCAACCGCGAAAACTTGGACACGCTTGAAAGTACTGCAGAGCAGCCAAGCACCATGGAACCATTCCCCAGTGAAGGTTACACTGCCTTAAGAACAGGAGTAGGGGGAAGTGAAGGGGAGGAAAATGACGCAACAAAGTGAAATGTCAAGAGGCTGAATTTGACTCCTTTCCAAAGCTGCGCGCCATATAGTTCCAAAAACCTATCGCGAATAAATTCTGCTTGCTCTTTCCAAAAGTAGACGTAAATGACTCATGGCGTGAAATAGAACCCAGCAGTCAGCAGAGATACAGGAAATCCAGCAATGCCGTTGTTGATTCCTCCCGAGGATTAAACGTGTTAACTGCAGCGACGGCTCATTTTGGCACCTTTTTACCGCATGTTCTGCCTTTGGTGTCTAAACGTACGCTTTATTCATCAACCAGGTCGAGCAACAGAACATTGGCACGACAGTGAACTCTGAAACATCGGCAACGCTGCCACACCCACAAATAGAGACATCAAAACGGGAAATGGGCCCTGGACCTGATGAGAAAGCCAAGCCCCAGAGATGTGAGGAAGAGGAAGTCAAACCAGCCAAGAAAGGCTTCCTGCATTTCTTCAAACACATGGTAAATGTGTATTTTTAGGGGGGGGATGTGGAGTTGTGTCTTTTCTCCAGTGGTGGATTGTTTCAGATTTACTCATCGCTTGGCACCAGGCACTCTCTTTTTGTTGAAGTCAAGACAAATGGAATCTTCACTCATGAGAAAACAGTCGCTCGGACTGTAATTAGGGGGAAACGTCAATCCTTTACAGGAATAAAGACTTATTTGTACACAGAACTCTTAAAGTAGGGTAACAATTCGGAGCGCTTCACAGGATGGCTTTGGATGCCAAATGATGGAGAGATAGCCATAGGCACGTTCCAAAAGGTAGAATTTGAGGTGAGATTTAAAAGACAGGAAAGAGATGGGGAGAGGCGGAGTGGAACAACAGAACACAAAGACTAAGACAGCAGGAGGTTAAAAAACAATGAAGGACCGGATGTTAAAAAAAATGTTAAAAAAAACAGTAAATCTGTATCTTCGGTTGCATTTTCTTGCATTGTAGAATGTGAAAGTCTTTGACGGAAATCACAAGATCTTTCTGCTACTCGCTGGATATCAAATATACAGAACTGAAAGAATGTGAACAACTGACATTTTTGTAGGTTGAAAATTATTTTTAAAAATTCTCTGATGCGCTCTGTATCCACAGTCATTTGTCAAATGAAGTTCAGCTGAAAAGTTGCAGAAAAGTCCTTTTTTTCCTTCAGATTCATAAGGCTTTATGAATACTGGCCATCGACAGTGTGTTGTATCTTTATTTTAATTATCCCGGTCATGCGAAAATTGCCTTCAGTATTTTTTGGGGAAATGCTTATTTTCTTTTGAAAAGCAGCATTGATTAAATGTGTGGTGGTTCTGAGTAGTCAATCAATTACAGATAACTGCTTTTATTCCATTACAACCATCCGTTGTCGATTGAGTCGAATGGAACTATTATTGTCCAAGGTCACATCATCTCACATGTGGTTCATATTAAACCATGTCCCAGTTTAGACAAGTACTTTCCATCACTGATGTAAATACAATTGTCCAATTTAGTTTGTGCTGGGCACCATTATAATTAGGCAGTATAGAGGGTTGCATTTATCGTAAAACAGTCTGTAACTATGCAACAAAAATGATGGATTTTGTTGAGAGAAATATTTAAAAAAGGGTTAATTTAATCTTTAAGATTGTCTCCGCTATTCTCCAAAAGCCTGTAAAAAAGAACATTTTTTTTTCAAAATTGCAGAGCAAATCACTCTTGCTGAACTGTGTTTACCAAATGCTGAAAATAGCAATCTTTTCAATAGAAGGGGAAATCCAGTCATAAAGATTTAACAGAAAGATAGCTAATGCAGACCGACTTGTGTCATAAAGCGACTCGATATAGTGTTAAGTGTATTTATAGTGGGGTCTATACGTACATTGTGCAGTCCTACACGGTGCATGACAGTAGTATCTAGGATCAGGGCCTGATTTTGCTGGACTGAAATCCACATTGACATTTAATATTAATCAGGGGAAGGTGTGTTACTCTGTTTTACCACAGTCAATATTCATCTTTCAGGTGTAGGGGAAACTGAATGCGTACACAAGGCCTGGGCTATCTCAGATGTTCACAATGTGCAGCAGACATGTATAAATTCTGCATCGTGGAGTCTACAAAAAGATCACCATTGATAGTGATGAGCTTTGGACTCATTCGGTCTGGATCAGAATCCATAATGTGGATTTTCAATTGCAAAGAGCTAAAAGCATTCAATAGGCATTAATCCTATTGTACGATTTGATAATGCAACATGCTGGTGCACATGCTGTGTTATTCTGGATATTTAATTTAAGAAACCAACAAATATTTCTGACTCCAAAGCATCAAATGAATCAGCTGCAAAGTTGATCTAAATTGCTATGGCAGGCGGTACAGACACATTATATTAGAACAATATCCCAGTATAATCGAGGATACGGCTATCCTTTTCTTCACTGTGTCCTTATCCTGGACTATCCATCAGTAAGGTATGCTCAGGAGCTTTCTTTTTCTTTAAATTGGAGAACTTTTTGGGGGGCTTCTCTTACCTTAATGGCAATTTCAGGACAGACACCAGGAAGTTTTTATTTACCCAGAGAGCAATTAATGACTGGAACAGGTGTCCAGGAAGGGTGGCAGAGGTCAATGCAGTGATGATGAGAGAACAATATTGGTGGATATTGTGGTTAAGAATGAGGTTAAATGGAAGGATGAGATCTTTATCCAAACCAATCTGGTGGGGAAAATTATATATAGCTGCTCAGTAAGTATTCAGTACAGTTTAATTTATATGGGGAAACTGAACATTATTATTCTAAATCGCAGTGAAAAATTTCCATGCTGCTCTTTACATTTGAACCACATTCATCGCCTTTCAGGATTCAGATGCCACAGATGGCCCTGGAGATAAATCCCCAACCTCTGCCTCAGGAGACACTGCAAAGAAAGGCAAGGACAATCAAGGGCAGAGAAAGTCCTCAGCAGAGAGCAGTCAAGAACAGCAGAAAACAATGTCCATGGAAGTCCTTCCTCCTGCCCAGCAACAAAATGCCATTTTAGTGCCCACACAGAATGGCGAGGAAGTCAAACCCAAGGAAGCTTCTGAGAAGAAACTGGATAAGAGGCATTCGTTTGGCGGGTTCCTAAAAACACTGGTACGTTAGAGGAGGCCACAGCAGATGAGTAACTCAGGTCTTTCCAAAATAATAATCGTGATGATGATAATAATCCTTACATTTGGTATGGTGCCATTCCTCACACCTTTTGGTCATCCCGTGTCTTGAAGCACTTCACATGATTTACCGCAAAGTGGAAGTGGAATAATGTGTATTTTGTAGGCGAATGTGACAGCTGACTTCTGCACTGCAATGTTCCACGAACAGCCATGAAGTAAATAATCAGTTTTATCTGGGGGAACGTTGCCTTTAGCAGAGTGTTTGGCAAAACGTGATGCGCTTTGCCATGGTTTCAAACTGTGTTGCCAACTATCCAAAGGTGACTTCTAACCCTGAACCAGAAGTAAAGGAATAAAAAAATAGTTTATTCATCAGGAAACTAAAAGAATCTTTGCCACAGTTAATTTCCTCCAAAATGCTTGTTTTCCTTTGAACCAAGCCAAATATTCTGCATAGTTTGCGCGTGGTCCATTGAGACTGAATACAATGGGACAGGATTAACTTCAGGTGTGGTATTATTGATTTAGCTACTCATTCTTCCACTGCATTGTGTACAGAGGTATTTGAAAAAGAGCAATACGGCTAGAAAGAGGTGGGAATAAAGGGAAAACATGAAGTCTGTTCAATTAAAACAATCCTTGTATTTGATACAGCGCTTTGCAACAACAACAGATTATATTTGCCTTTCATGTCAGGAGGACGTCCCAAGACGCTGGACAGTCAGGGATTTAGACCCGAGCAGGGGTTGGGATCAGAAGGGGTGGAGAGCAGGGAGGGTAGGGATAGGAGGGAAGACATCTCAAAGCGATACAAGGGAATTACTGTAAAATGTCGATATTTGTAGACAAAAGCATCAGCCACTTTGCATTCAGGAATGGGAAGGAGGAGTGTATGTTAAACTTCAAAACGTTCTTAAACTTCAAAACAAAACGGTCGGCAAGCTAAGGTGAAACATCAGAACTCTTTTACTGTCCTTTTAGGTAGCGTTTGTGGGAGAGGGAAATTTGGCAAAACTGATGCAATAAAAACTACCTGAATGCTGACATTCTTCTGTGTAATTACTGAAAGGCAATTGAGCTTTGACGAGTGATGCAGAGCGAAAACTGGTCCTGCAACATTTATGAGGTTAGAATGTGCAGCAATAAATAAATAACTAGAAATGGAAACAGAAATTTTGAGAGAAGAACGAGGTAGGCTGGCAGCCAACTATAAGAGGTCTGAAGTCGTGTGAAAACTGAAGAAACTGCTGGTGTGATTGTTAACTGTCCTCACTGTTTGCTTTCTGCTTTGCAGGGTGGAAAGAAGACAGCAGATGTTGGAGTGCAAACAGATCCTGTTTCAATCTATCCTGCGGGGAAGGCAAAGTGACACCACTCTCTCTGTTCAGGAAAGCTTGGCAACTTGCTTGCCTATTTCATGAAACCACATAGTCTAGACAGCTGATTGGCCCCTCTCACATCTCTCAGTGCTCAGAACATGCCCGAAACAAATATTCTGCTCAGTACACTTTTCTTTATATATATATATATACATAATATATATAAAAAAAAGCTTCAGTTCAATAGAATACAAATTTCAGAACTCTTTAGAGGAACATCTGGTAGGTTTAGAATCTGCATGACCTCTGATACATGTACCATTGGAGAATGCATGCCTTCACTAAATGAGTCTATAGTGTTGGAAGAAATCTCTCCCCCACTCGCTCACCCCCACCATTCACATGTGTCATACAAGATATCACACAGCCGTCAATGTAGTCCAACACAGTAGCACTTTTTTTTTCGGTGGGGGTTGGGCGGGGGTTTAAATGACACCAAAACCATGCCAGGGAACCTGCAGCGTTTATTGTTTTAGCTGCAACTCATTTCAGAGTAAATTATCATCTATTACGCACACTATTTTACAGGCTCCTTTTCTTGTAATGTGTCAACATCGATGAAAGCAGGGAAACTGCCAGTGATACATTCTCTGAGCTGAGGTGCGCGCTAGTGAGATGAGGGTAGTGCGTGGGGTGGTGCGAGCGAGGGGGCAGTGTCCCGGGGTGGGGGGGGGGGGGGCTGTCCTATTGCCTCTTCAGTTCTCCTGGCTCTCTAATCACCGTACTCTGTAAAAACAAAAGAAGACGCATTGTTAGTGTGAATTAAAAGGTGCTCACAAATCATTGCTGCAGGAATACTTTACTGCTGTTACTCCCTGAGCTTAACTAGGACTGATAGTGGCTGATGCTTTATGGAACACAGGTACATAACATCTCTTGTTCCATCTATTGTTCACCGTTGGAATCGTATCTCAAAATTTCCCAGCTTTTTGATCATCCCATCATCGAAGATGTATACAATAGTCTCTGGCTGGCAGGGTGTGTGCTTTTCAGCAAGCTTGTCTTTTCCCAATCATTTGCCCTCTTCTCCCTAGCTCCCCAATAGGTACCTGAGCTGTCAGGTATGTTGGAGCTTTGCCTGAAGGGAGGGAACCCAACCTCATTGTTATACATGTTACTCATTCTGAATAAACAACGCAAGGCTTTATAACCTCCGCCCTTAAATTCATCTCTACTATGTGGACGTGGCTTTTGTCAAGCAGATGGCTCCTGTTTGCATCAGCTGCTGCTCACTGGGTCATTAAATACCACCTTCACTCATTGGTTACTGTTTGTGCCAATTGACACACATTAGTTGCTTTAATGCTAAGTTTTCCCTTCTCCTGCAAAAAGGAGTTATACAAACAGAAGTACATGTGTGCATGTGACTGCCAGGAAGGTGGAAGGTAAACTAGTTGGACCTTGGTCTTTTTTCGTCTAGCATTTCTTATGTTCTCATGTACATGTTCTGGAAAAAAACACTAAGATCCTTTTTTGTTAGACACTTTCGACCTTCTCCAGTCGATTAATTTCACAAGGTCCGAATGACCTGTCCACATGACTCACTGCGGGAGCCACCTCCTACATAGCTCTCCTCATGCTCTGGATATGGGTAAGACTCCGCACACCTCAAACAGCTACTCCTTCCTCCCCAAAGGTGCCTGAGCCACAGATCGCTGGCAAAACCAACCCAAGGCTTTGAGATGTTCCTTATATGTGAATGGAGTGATATAAATGTCTGTGTTATTTGTGTTGGCTCCTTCTTTCTCCATAATGTAAAGCTGGAATTTACACTCCATCACTACAGCACGTTTATACTACAGCACCTAATTGACTGTCCAAACAGCATACCTTTGAGCGACAGAAGGAACAGATTATGGTATTGTCGAATGGTATTGTCACTCCCGACGGGGCATGTACAAATTGTACGATGGAGTGGGTGGGGGTTGGTGAAATAGGTAACAAAACACCAAAACTATCCAAACTGCAGCACTGCGTATTACGGTGCTATCTCTGTCCACCAGGGAGCATCAGAACCTCAATTTAAGAGAGGAAGAAAAAGTTTGCAAATCATTTCTTTTTGGCATTTTTAGTGCATTTTAGTGGTAACTTTTAAACAGGTCTAAAGCATTTTAACTGTTGAGCATCAGCATGATAGATGGAGGAAGCACTGTTTCCTTTGTTTCCTTCTCTGAATTTGTCTCTTGTATCTTAAATATGTCAATATCGAACCGCTGCATGTATTTGTTGCTAACATTTCACTGCCTTTTAGAAGTTAATTTTATAATTCAAATGAGGTCAGAAATTAAAGATTCACAAGATACCTGGACTAAGATGCTTCAGTTTTTCTCTTTCAAAAATAGTCATATATATATTATATCTTCTATATTTAATAAAACAATATATTAAATTCGAAAAGCTGAGTGCATGAGTTCTGCAGGCTGACAATTGGTAAAAATCTTCAGCTTTTAATCGCAAGAAGGAACTCATCTATTCCAGCAATAATATAAATGTTTCATAAATTATCCCGTCTGAAAGAAAACACACCCAATTCTTATAAATCGTTGTCAGTTCTTTCTAAGTGGTTTCTAATGTGGGTGTTGTCTCTCAGAGCATGTACTTTTTCTGATGCATCTTCAGTACAGTTTAGTGCTATTTGAAACAATTAAAATTGTTTTTGTTTGCACAAAATTCTGTTTGTGTTTTGTTATTTTACCAACGCTTATTTTCATCCGCCAACGTTTCCAGTTCTTTCAGTTTTGCTTGAAGCCCTGTAGAATAATATCCTATGAAATGTGCAGGCATTGACATCAGCCATTTTTAGCCACAGTCGTTATGTCCCTCTAAGGGGCGTGTATTTTAATTAGAGGAAGAGTAGTAGGCCATTCAGTTCCTCGAGCCTGTTCTGCCATTCTATTAGATCATGACTGATCCGGACCTGAACTCCAACTAACTTGTAATTTCATATATGATGAACTCCAATTAAACTGTAATTTTATATAAACATTGTATGTTTAATCCTTTTATTCCTCGTCCAACTCTGCCTTTCCTTTGAAGACTCATGCCAAGTACAGTTCCACAGGTGCTGACTTCCCTCCTAAATGCCTCACTCCAAATGCACGTTCTTTATCTGCGGATTTAGTCAGTGAGTGTCACAAAGCAATTCAAGCCCAATCATGACATTCAGGAGGGTGAACCCTCATCTAATTTGTTTTCCTCTCCCTAGCTCACGGCCAGTGAGGTCGATTGAGGTCCCTGCTGTGATTGAATGTGTTAACTCAGCACAGACCAGGCATAAAAAACAGATATGGATCAATTTCACTCCATCCTTCAGCAAACTCAGGCATCGGGGAAATCGGGGAGCTCCTGTAATTAATTAATACCGCCCTGTGCAATTGGCTGCCGCGTTTCACCCACAAAAGTTAGTCAATTCACTTTACAGTATATTCTGTGAAGCGCGTGAAGACGTCTCGAAGACGCGATAAGGCATTATATGAAACCCAAACGTTATTATTTTTAATTAAAGTTCACTATCAGGAGACTGTCTGTTACATCTACATGTTCCCCAGTTCCATGAGCACGAGATGCAATGGAATGCAACGAGTAGTTGGGTAAATCGCAGCGGATTTTCAGTCCCAAAGAACTTCAGTTCTACCATGATAATATGACTCCTGGTCACAGCGCTCCCTCTGCTGGATAAATGATGGCAGTAAAGCCCCTTTTTGAAGCAGGTGTGTCTTCGTCGAATGTTATTGTGGTCACATGAAGCACCTCAGCCTGCGAGAGCATCTGAGTCAACCTTGAAAGACCGTAGGCACACCACTGCTTCCTTCAAACCCCACAGTGCTTCAAGACAGCTGGCTAAGTGGGCAGATCAGGCAGTATTTATTCATTTTAATCTTCATTTCAAGCGCTCTGGAACGCCAATTAAATGCAACTTGTTGTTAATAGAGCCAAGGAATAAATGCTGTTCTACAATTAGCTCGAAAATGATTGTCCCTTTGCAGATTTATGTGTAATAATAATCGTTGCATTTCATTCAGCGCCTATGAGGTCAACATGACTCAAAAGAGCACTTCACAGGTAATTGCTAGCATTGGTATTCATTGCTCAATTGACTCAAATGATGGTTTGTGTGTCGAAATTTGTGACTGTTTAAACAACTGAAAACTCAGGACTTAATAGGGTGACATGGTTTGAAATCAAAGGAGAATAAACAGTCATTTTGTTGCCTTCACCCTTTTCTTTCTCAGCGTCCACGGGTTTACGTTTTTAATCTCTTCCTGAAATGCTTCCTTGTCTAAAATAAATACATTTGAATCTATTTAATATTAAAGCTCAGTTGCTGTTGTTTGAAATTTGTAATCATTATTGTGATATAAATAGTGTGGGTGGGGAAGGGGCTTGTCAGCCACCAGAAAGTAGCATTCAGTGTTGGCAAAAAATACATTAAGTAGTAGTAGTAGTAATAATAATCCTTGCATTTGATTCAGCGCCTTATCACGTCTTTGAGATGACTCAAAGGGCTTCACAGGATATACTGTAAAGAAAGTTGACTGTGTATTTTGGTGGGTGAAATGCAGCAGCCAATTGCGCACGGCAGTGTCCCACAAACAGTCGTGGATTGAGTGACCAAATTATTATTTAGTCTCCACTAAATAAAATAGTCTCCACTATGACTATTTTCTGATGCTGGTGGCAAGGGATACAATATTATACCCTACATGCTGCTTGCGGTATACAGGTGTCTTAAGTATCAAACGTCTGGTATCCAATACAGGAAGAGGCATCAGGCACATCAATAAAATCCAGGCTGAAGAAGATTAGTTTCAAATATTGCCGTTTACTGATAGTATTCTATAATTTCAACTGTGTTTAGGAAACCACTGCATTGCGTTTTGATTTCTATCTTCGGGAAGTCCATCCAATGTGAAGGGTGTTATATAAATGCCATTTTGTTGTTGTTGTACTTTGTAAAGTGGATGGGATTTTTAATTTTTGATTACACTAATTTCTTTACCCATCTTTCTCTTGCCTCCCATTTTCCTCCTTCCCTCTCCTTTTCTGGCACGCAATCTCTCATGCCTTCTTCCAAGTTTATTACAATTAATAATTTTAATAATAATTAATACATGTGTTTGATACAACACCTTGCACGTCATTGAAATGTCTTAAAGCTCCTCACGGGATTTTATTGTAAAGTGTAAACACTACATTTGGTAGGTGAACACAGCATGCAATTTTGCACACAGCAATCGCTTACAAACAGCCGTAAAGTTGTAATTTTTTGTGTGTGACCCGAGGCAATGAGCATTGCTGGTTCACTGAACTACTTTGGGGGCGGAAACAACACTCACAACTGAGCCTAATCTTGTCCTTGTCCATTATTCACATAACATGCACTACCAATAAAGCTCTGACCTTTTCACAACGCCTTACCAAAAAGTGTTGGGACTTTCCATTCATCACATCCAGAATCGCTGAGGTAAGTGTGGTAGAACAGTGGAATTCTAAATGGCTGCAGGTGTTATTCCCAAGTGAAATCTTACTTTGTGGGCAGGGTATCTCCGCTACATACCACATTTCCTAATAGGAACACAATTTGTCACCTTAAATTAGGCAGTACAGAGCCATTTAGCATCAGAGACAGTAAATCTGCTGGACTCAAGCACCCAGAGGTTCCAAAGCCCCAGTACCAACAATACACACTTGGCACTCACTGGGTAGCCCTCGTCAGGACTTGTAAGGTTTGTGTTTTAATCTGTTCATCTACCAGTGAAACCATTACAAAATTTCTTTTTTATTTTAAACACTTGTAATATCAAGTCAAATCATTCAGCACTGTATTATTATATCATTATTATTATCCCAGTTCATTCCCTCAGCGTTCCGTTGCGTGAGGAACAAAATGCCAAGTTTCCTTGGAATTCTGAGAATGAAAATGCAAAGGCCAGATGCCACCATTTACCACTGTTATTTGCATAAAAGTGGAATTTGTTGCTTAATAAAAGAAGAATAGTTACACAGATGATAATACAGCATCTTGTGCCGGGCAACCATGACTGACTGCATAACCCAAGTCACATCATACAATCCTTAGGAATGTGAGCAACGCAAGAGATCGTGCAGTTAATTTGCCAGCCTCCACACTGACACATGATTTGTAGAGTAGGAGGATGCATCCACTTCATGTTTTGTGATCGATGCGGAAAGTGGGTTTTGCAGGCCGTGCTGTTAATTTTGCAGGTTGTGCTGACCCAGTGTAAGAAGGGAGGTTCAGCTGTGCTTAATTCTGCAATGAACCAATTTAAAGCAATCCAGTTGATTCTGTGATCCTTTTCAGTGGTTGTTGATGACATGATTACTTTACACATTCATTTCCTCAGTGGTTTACACGGCTCGCAAATTTGACCCCAATCAAAGTGTTTGTCTCAGAATAGCAGGAAGAGAGTGAGAGCTGGAGTAATCTAAACCCTCGCCTTGATGCCTCAGTCGGTAATACACTGACGAAAGCCCTCTGGGACAATACCCTGCATGAGGGGTGATAAATAAATGAAAGTTGTTGCTCGTGTAGAATGATGTTGAGCCACATAGACGTGGCAGGTTTGATCCCTCGTCAAACCCAAGGGCACAGAGGACCAATCTTGCTCCCCTCAAACCAGGAAGCTTAGATCAGAATTGAACCATTGATTTCTTACAATCGAAGTGTCTCAAAATGTTTCACAGCGCTCAAGTGAGTGACGTATTGTAGGCAAATGTAGCAGCCAGTCTGCAGCCAACAAGGTCCCAAAAGCGGGTGTCAACCTGACTTGGTTGGTAGCCAAGTTGGTAGACTTTCCTTTCTGAGTCAGAAGGTTGCGGGTTCAAGCTCCACAGCAGGACTTTGAGTTCATCGTCTAGGCTGACACTTGAAAAGCTTTGCTGAGGGGAATGCTATATATTCGGTTGTGCCATCTTTTGAACTGAGGTCTTGTCTGCCTATTTAAGTGGATATTAAAGAGAAGGCGATTTCTCCCAATGTCCTGGCCAACAATCCTCCAGAGAGAGAAAAATCAGTCATCTGCCTCGTGGCTGTTTGTGGAACATTGCTGGGCAAATATAGAGTAATTACACTTTAGAATACAATTCTGTGGATTTTAAGATGTGCTGCATTACATAGTGCCTTTTCACAGTGTGATCAAATGAAAGGTTCATCATGAGGTATAAATACAGGAAGTACTAAAACATTGCCTGCTCTGAAGGTTTACATGTCTTGAGCTTACTTTAGAATCACGTGTTCATTTTTATAGTAAGAACTTAACAGATACCATTCTGTAGAATTGGCTGAAAATGAGACGTTCTGGCACTTTATACTGTACAAAGTAAAGTATTTATTTAGCAGGAACAACTTCAAAGTGTTTGGATAAGGAAAGGATTGGATATGTCATTTAAGAACAGAAATATTCACTTTACAAGCCAGATGATTGTTTTTGATTTACGTTATGGAATCATTTCAGAGAATAAAAAGTTAACTTAAAAGGTTCCAGGAATTTTCTTTTTAAATTGTTTGCAATTTACTGTAAAGTATAGTGACTTGAGTATTTTGTAGGCGAATATGGCAGACAATTTGTGCACAGCAATGTCCCACAAACAAAATTGAATGAGTAATTTTATCTGAGGACTTGTTGGCCTGGACACCAGGAGGAACTCCCTTCTCATTTCCAGTAGTGCCATGGCATCTTTAACATCCACCTGAGCAGGTAGACAGGTTTTAATATTTCATCCAAAGGACGGAGCCTCCAACAATCTAGTGACCCCCTCCCCCCACACTATATTGTCATGTCAGTCTATATGAATTCAGCATCCTGTTGAGGGGCTTGAACCCACAAGTTTCTGATTCAGAGGTAAGATTGTTATCGACTGAGCCAGGCTGACATATCGGTTGAAAATAGGTTCAAGCTTTCAGTCTCTTCACATGCCACAAACTCAATCACCACAAAGTTGCCAGGGGGAGAAGCAGAACAG